CCTGGCCCCTCACTCCTGGCCCCTGGCCCCTCACTCCTGGCTCTGGCCCCTCATTCCTGGCCCCTCACTCCTGGCTCTGGCCCCTCACTCCTGGCCCCTCACTCCTGGCTCTGGCCCCAGCCAGCCCTGGATACTACAGCGCTGGGGAAGCAAACTGAGTGATTGGAGCTTTCACTCTCTCTCTCTACCTCTCAATAATAACAGTAAGAGCAGTAATAATAGATGTACTTTTCTTACAATGTTAGTTTTATTTAGGAAACAATTCCTGTGTTGATAAAGTTCATGCTTAGAATCCCTATTCAAGTGCTGATCCCTACTGCTGTAGAGACGAATGACTCTCAAATGCTTTCCTAACCTAATTCCTTCAGCCAATTTTTCAAAATATTTCTTTTTCTGTGTATGTGCTCCATCCTTAAATATTTGCCTTGACAATTCCATTGAGGTTATTTTAACTCTTGATCTTTCCGACTTAATAAACAGCCACCACTCCAAAGTTATAACTCATAAAAACATTACTAGGAAAAGCTAAGTCAGTCTTTTCTCTAAAAAATAAAATTAGTACCAACCTAAAAACAAAATTGTATATAAAACACAAAACTGCTTACTCCCAGCCAAGCCACCATCAAACTATATGTCAGTGATAATAACACAATAACCCATGAGACATTCAACCATGTCACTGAGTAAGAGACCAGGAATATGGCAAATCCACTGTTCTTGAAAAAAAAAATGCTAAAACTACTAGTTATAATTTAAGAATGATGGGTCACCAGACTGAAAGTTCTATATCGTAGTATGGCAATGGAATCTTTAAAAAATACAGCTGAATTTTTATGCTCAGGGAAGGGTTAGCCATCTGTAAATCAGTGGTCAGGCTTTGTGGGCTGCAACTCAGTTATGCTGCTGGGGCAGGAAAGCAGCAATAGGCAATAGTATGGAAGGGTTCTAATAAAACTTTGTTCATGAAAACAGATAGCAGACTGGATTTGGCCCATGCACTGTAGTTGGCTACCCCTGTTTTATGTACAACGGGCATGTGAGTTGAATATGGATACATGTGCATACATGTGAGTTACAGTTGACCTAAGCATGTGTGTTAGCATTCCACATGTGTCTGCCTGTTTTCAGGGACAAGGCAGCTGGGTCATCCTATGATCAATATAATTGCACACATGTTGACTACAAGAGCCCTGACCTAGCAGTTTAATTCTCTGGTCAATGTTTTGAAATTCTTAATGATCCTATCTTGCAATTCTGATTTGTAAGTGTGGTCAGGGCAAAGGAATTCCTTTGCTCCTCTGCCTCCTGCAGGGCACAGTGTGAAGGTCCAGTGGCTGCAATATGGGAAAACTCAGAAGGTGCTACATATCATGACTGTGATTCCACACTAACAATCTATAGCAAGAAACCTGAGAGTGGTCAATTTCAAAGCATCATGACCAGTAAGAGGAGAGGGAGGAAGAAAAACAAAGGCTGCAGGAAAAAAAAAAGTTATTAGCTCTGAAGAATCATCTGATGTGATCCATCTACCCAAATGGAAGCTGACAAAGAAAATTCCACTGTGCATCACGCCTTTCAGGTCAGCTAACACTTGTAACACCAGGGCTTCCTGCAGAATTCTAAATCTTAAAAAGAAGGCTCTGGAATGAACGCTGTGATGGCTGCAGACTCTAGGATATGCCAACGAGGAATGCTGCATGGCAGCTGCTTTCCTCCGAGAGTGCGCTATTTTACAATGATGATGAAGCATTTCGTAAATAGGAAACACAGGAAAACTACTGCGTGCGAAATTTAATAAATAACAAAGTTGAACTTTACCAAGATTTCTTATTTCCTATTAAGGAAGGCAATAAGAGATACAAAAATAAATCAATTGTAAATAAGGCACATATTTAAATATGACTAGCACTAATTGATATTAAAGAATGAATCATTAAAGAATGATAAGAATGATATATAAAGAATGGTAAATTACTCTTCAGAGATGCACATGAGTATTCAGGTGTACAGGTAAAAAAATGGAAAGAAAAAGATGACAGAGAAGATGAAGCAGGAAACAAGAAAGGCAGAGAGGGAGGTGACAAAAACAAAGTGAAGTGGGTTAGACAAAATAATGACCAGAGGGAATCCGCTGGAATGTTCCCTTCAACTCCATGTACACTTTTAATTTTCTGTGATGGAGTGAGCATGTGTGTACCTGTTAGCTAAAAACTCTAATAAAAATCGAGGCACAGATTTCTCATTCTCCTCCGCACGGTATGTCTTTTTTTTCCCTGCAAGCAGCATCGTCGGAGGCTGACAGGCGTTCTCTAAACTGCAGAGATACAAAGGAGTTCATGGGAAGGATAATCTGCCTATCGGGTCCTGACACAATACAAAAAAGAAAAGAAGAAAGTGGGTGGAAGAGCCTGCATTGTTACTCTCCTAACCTTGCCTTCTAATTATGCTGGAGTCAAGGCTCAGGTCACAAGGAAAATGATTCTGGTGGTCGACCATTTGCCCTGCTTTGTATACATCAAAAAAGCTCTTGTTATCACTACATTCCAATCCCACAGTTTCCCACCTACTTAAAAAGTGTATCAAGTAGTCAAATGGAAAAAAAAAAACGAATAAAAAGACTAAATTATGAAGAACACCTTGTTGGCAAATGTAGAGACGATCTTTATGTTACGCTGAACTGTGTGACAGGGACTAGGACAGGAATTATGCTTCGTGTTGCTGTGGATACTTCAGATAAATGCTCAACATGCGCAGCTTTTAAGAGTTCAATGTAAATTTTTCTCATGAGTGCAGATGGTGGTCAAGCCATGCAGCCCTTTGGTCCGACAGACAGAAGGTCAGGTCATGGCTGAAAGACCACAGAACAATCGCCGCTTTGCTGCCCCCAATCATCCATGGAACGAGACACCACTTCTTTCTTTTCTGAAGCTGTCTGCTCAATACAAAATACTTACCAAAGCGTACCTATAAGATTTCCTCACCTTCTGTCCAAGAGAAACAAAACGGTAACAAGCGTATCATAGAATAGACAGCTTCTAACTGTTCCGAGGCTTTATTCTGAACACTAAGACCTCCTGAAAAGGTACATCTCTATCTAATGGCTGAGCACTATGCAGTTGCTGCTATGTCCTAAGTATTATAAACAAAAACCCTTCCTTTGAAAGCCCTGCAACTCGAGCTTCCATAAGTACTTTATTACAATCAGATATGCTGCAAAAAGACAAATATTGTAAGTATTTCAGTTTATTAATTTACTAGTGATATTAAACTTTCCCTGTTGCCACAGTGTTTTTGTCCTCTATATAACATTATAATATTCTTAATAAGTCAGAAACTCCTCTCTGCTGTATTTTCTCAGTCCAAAATGTGCTGGCAGAATGTTACAAAAATATACAAATTATACAATAATTCTAATGAGGATGCCGATTTGGTACACTTTAAAATTTAAATTATAACATGCCAGAAAAGAAAAGTTCTTTATGTGTGTTTGGATTAGTAGTTCTAGGCTTTCAGTCCCTAATGGACAGGATTTTCCATTCTACTATCAGGCACGCCCCCTACTGGAGGAAAGAAGATAGTTTCATTATTTATATACGCTACTAATGAAAAAAATGCACTGAAAATTTAAAACTCATTAGATCAGGTTGAATATAGTGATATAAAAGTAGCATTTTATTTGGGTTTTCTAGTCCTTAAAAACAATACTAAGGATTCCAGTTGTAACCTGGATGAGTTTATAGTAAGTTGCATTCATACTTTCACTTTTTCGGCACGCTTCCTAATTGTCCTTGCATCACTTGTCATTAAGAGTTGATTACATTGAAAGGGAAAATTGCAATGAAAAATAATAAAAAAAAATCAGGGACCCAGTGAGCTAGCCTAGCAGCTGAAATCCTCACCACATGCGCCAGAATCCCAATACGGGCACCGGTTCTAATGCCGACAGCCCTGCTTCCCATCCAGCTCCCTGCTTGTGGCCTGGGAAAGCAGCTGAGGACAGCCCAAAACCTGCACTCATATGGGAGACCCGGAAGAGGCTCAAGGCTCCTGGCTTTGAATCGGCGCAGCACCAGCTGTTGTGACCACTTGGGGAGTGAATCACTGAAGGGAAGATCTTCTCTGTCTCTCCTCTTTTCTATATGTCTGACTTTACAACAAAAATAAATCTTTTTTAAAAAATCAGAAAAAATGTCCTGGGAGCTACCAGATTTCCGTTATTTCCTTAAGATATTAACACGGAAAACTTCATTTTATTAGTGTAACTGAATATGTTAAACAACTATTCATTAAATATATGAAGAACACTGGTTTTTCAGTGTCCTATGCTATAGTATAAAAATAGAAACTCAAAAGTCAGTTTATTAGAATTGCCTCTCTAAAAACTTCTTCCACATTGTCAATTAAAACTGAAGTGTCTACATGGTCTCAATAAGGATACAACATAAAACATCTGTTCAAACTAAAATTAAAACTAGCTGCGCTTTCTCCCCTAACATTTCTAGTTTCACTGCATTTAGGCTTCGTGAGCAAAAGTATTCATGGTTATCTTAGTTAAAACTGGTTTTACTCTGCCAACAATCAATTTGATTGACATATTTACATATCAACTCATCTCATCTTACAAATTTTAAACTTTTTCATTTAAAATTGGATTCAAGTTGGCATCTCTCAAGAACTTTATGTACGTATATTTTAGGTTCAAACTGTGCATTAGAACATTGCTTTTTTACTTTTGTAAGTAATAGATACATATATCCAAATGTATATTTATGACCTGTCAGACTGGAATTTCATATGTACGTACTTGTATTTTCACCATTTCATACTGAAAGGTGATAATTTCACGCAACTATAACTGAAATTCTTTTAACAGCATAAACTGGGTCATTGCATTAGTTATGAATAATAGAATACAAATGTATAATGTAGGCATAAAAGTCCACCAACTTTAGAAAGAATATTAGCTTATTAATTGAAGTTACACTTGTGCCATCTCTTACCTGATCTTTCATTTCAAGATCCATTCTAGTTTTTGCTTTGTACTCTCTGTGTTCTTTTTCTGCCTCATCCCTCTCCGTTTTGGCTTTATTCATCTGAAAGCGCATTTCTCCACACACCTGTTAGATTGTAGAAACTGGATTAATAGCTGCTGGGATTTAATCCAGCAGGGCTTGCACGTAAGTCCTCTGGTGCTCTCTAGAGGTCATACACAGAAACGCAAAGCAATTTTCCCAAGAATGACATTTTCCACTAAAATATTCAACATAGCCTGTGATATTTGGAGGTGGTATCAAAGATACCAAATTACAGATAAAGAAATGTGTAACCAAGACCTTTAAGTAATATGCTGAATATTATTTTAGGTAATGAATTGAACTTTAGTAACTGAAATTGAATATTACCAACTAAAATGAACAACTATCTAAATTTTACTGAGGTAAAACTAGTAACTAAAATATTAACCTATGTTATTCTTCTCTCAAATTCTACACTTAACTAGTCTACATTATAAAAGTTTCCTTTAAAGATTTGATTAGCTAAGATTTTATTTAAGAAAATGTAGAAAGTAGTTTGGCTTTTTTTTAGGTGAGTATACAAAATCTAATGTGTACAGTACCAAAAATGTACTTTGCTAAACTTATTCATAACACTTAAACTCCTTCCAAAATAAGCCAACAAATCAAGCTGAGCTAGGATTATATTATCTCAGAACTGGAAGCAACCTCAAGGCCATTTAGTGTAATTACTGTCCGCTGAGGAAGCCTTTTTGAGTAGCCGTAAAGGAAAAGAACTTATTCTTTGCTGCACCACACTTCAGCAGCAAGTTGTCTCTTTATAACGAACTGCAAATTGTCTCACAATAGCTTCCACCCTTAAATACATGTGTCCATAAATGCATGTGTCCAGCACTCTGCAATAATGCCCTTGCTTCCAGAGAGCTACAAAAACGTATCTGCAAATACGACCTTCTTAGACTTCTGCATTAGGTAGTTTGAAATTTGGCAAGTAAACGGATGATTACAGAAATTGAAGAAAGAAAAAAGAAAAACAGCTCCCTTTCTTAATTCATGTTAAAATTGATTAACTGCATGATAAAGCAGAAGAATGTCATTAACAGGTGGCAAAACTTCATGAGGACTAAAAGCCCAAGCAGAAAGGGTTTGTTTTATGGTAAGTAAACTCTATTTATTGGAAGTGTTTTGATTGGAAGGGCAGGGAAACAGATGTGCTGTGTACTGACTCCTCTGCAACGCCCCAGCAGCCCAGCGCTGCAGCCCTGAGCAGCCGCCTGGAAGTGAGCTAGGACTCGCAGGTCCTCCCCTGTGGGGCACAGGCGTCTGAGCAATGTCTGAATCACAGTGACAGACACCTGCACTGAGAGGCAGAGATACAGACTAACAGTTCACCCTGCCAACACTGACAGCCAAAGCTAGACGAGGCTAAAGCCAGGAGCCAGGGGCTCAGAGCAGCCCTCCTGTGTAGGTGCAGGGATCCAACTACTTACCTGATGCCCTGCTTCCTCATGGCTCGTATCCTAAGCAATTATTCTGTGCATTTAGTAGTGAAAAGGAAATGATTTTCTTATATCTTGCATACTCGTGTTTACTTTCTCAACCTAAGAAACACACTGTGGAAACCTAGGGGGATTTCTGCTACTTCTCACAGTATTAGCCAGTGAAGACAATTAAGCATTTAAGTTCTTGGTTGATGAGTTAGTGATGTCCATAACACAGATACTGAGGTATTTTAAGCCTAAATGTCAGAACCAATAAAATAAGACCCTTTAGTATTAGAATCATGGCTTTAGAGAGTAGTTTATAAAGGAATGGGAGGAGTTGATATTGTGGCACACGGGGTTAAATTGCCACCTACAAGGCTGGTGTAAACAGCAGAAGCCAGTTGGAGTCCCAGCTGATTCGCTTGCAGTCCTGCTCCCTGCCAGTGCACCTAGGAGAGTACCAGAAGTCCCAAGTTCTTGGGACCCTGCTGCTCCCATGGGAACCCCAATGCAGTTCCTGCTTCCCTGGCCAGGCTTCTGCTGGCTCAAACCCAGCCCCTGCAGCTGTGTGAAGAGTGAGCTAGTACATGAAAAATGAATCTTTGTCTCCCATTTCTCTTCAACTCTGCCTTTCAAGGATATAAAATAAATATTTTTTAAAAAATAAAAGGAATGGGAAGTAGAGATTTTTTTTTTAATGTTATGGATACTTTTCAAGTTGAAAATATAAGACTTGGACAACAATCATGGAGACCAGTGCTAAGCGGTGCTATCAATGGCAGAAAGAATGATCACCATCACTACAAAACTGCATCAAGCATTCAATAATGACATCTGCTTTTGCCAATTCACCCTTACGTCCCTGGGAGACATAATTTGTTTCTAGTCCATCTCTGCATTGGCAGTACCAAGCAAAGGAACTGCACATACTAAGCAAATGTTTGCTGAATGACACTAGGCAGATGTGCATTATTCTTGACGTGATAAATCTTTTTTTACTTTAAGCTTCTTCTAATAACAGTAATAGTTTTGTACATTTAGAAAAAGAGTTTCAAAGAAATCATCGAGTCATGATCATGCTAGAATCTGTTTGTACCTGGGTGGCATCCTTGTCCTGGGAGGTAAGCTGGTCCTGAAGCTCTTCCAGTTGATTCATAGTTGACATCCTTTCCCTCGTTGCCTTTTCCACCTGACTCTCCAGTTGGGCAATGTTCTGAGACAGGATTAACATCTACAAGAGAAAACACAAATCTTAAACTGTGCTGTCATTTGACAAAATCAACACCAAAAACGTCCTCGAGGTATTAAAGTCTTGGTGTAGCTCCTGAGCTCTGTCTGTAAACATTTCTCTGGGGACGGGAACGCCCACTTCCATACCACCTCAGTCCACTCTCCCTGACCTGAAATGTGGACTTCCCTCCTGTTCACCCCCATTGCCACTGCCACCCCCCAGGCTTCTAGATGTACAATAAGTTGAGAAAAAATCAAATGGTGGGGACAGCCATCAGACAGCCAAGTAAGTTATAGAACAGTCATAAATAATTTTCAAAAGTGCTACAGAGAAATCAAATGAGTCTTTTTTTTAAGCTATCATATATTTGAAACACAGAGCTACAGAGAGAGGGAGAGAGAGACACACACTCACACACAGAGGTCTTTCAGCCACTTGTTCACTCCCCAGATGGCCACAAAGGCTGGGGCTACTCCAGGCCGAAACCAGGAACCAGGAGCTTCTTCTGGATCTCCCAGAACTTGGGCCATCCTCCATTGCTTTCCCAGGTGCATTAGAAGGAAGCTGGATCGGAAGTGGAACAGCTAGGACTTAAAACTGGTGCCCATATGGGATGCCAGTACACATAGATAGCAGATGCAGTGCCTGGGTTGTTCTGGTTCCTGCCACCAGGAGGCAGTGTGATGGCTCAGGTGACTGGATTCCTGTTACCCATGTGACAGACCTGGTTTAAGCTCCATTTTATTACCCAGACCTTAGCCCAGCCTGGGGACCTGTGTGCATTTGGGGAGTCAACGAGTATATGACAGCTGGTTCTCTCCCTCTGCTTAAATTTTAAAAAAAATTTTTTAAAGATTTATTTTTTGTTAAGATTTATTTATTTTTATTGCAAAGCCAGAGTGGAAGAGAGACAAAGAGGAAGATCTTCCATCCGATGATTCACTTCCCAAGTGACCACAACAGCAGGAGCTGAGCTGATCCGAATCCAGGAGCCAAGGTCCTCTTCTGGGTCTTTCAGGGTCCCAAGGCTTTGGGCTGTCCTCAACTACTTTCCCAGGCCACAAGTAGGGAGCTGGATGGGAAGCGAGGCTGCCAGGACTAGAACCAGCACCCATATCCCAGCATGTGTGAAGCGAGGACTTTAGCCACAAGGCTATTGCGCTGGGCCTAAAGATTTATTTTTTAAGTTAACACGGTATGCATACGTGGAGTGGTGGTAGGGGTATTGCCACTGTGGCATAGTGGGTAAAGCTACCAGCTATGATGCTGAAAATCAATATGTACATACAAGTTCACATCCTGGATGCTTGACTTACAATCTAGCTCCCCACTAATGGCCTGGGAAAACAGTGGAATATGACGTAAGTGTTTTAGCCACTGCCATTCACTTGGGAGAACTGGATGAAGCTCCAGGTCCCTGGTTTTGGCCTGGCCCAGCCTTAGCTGTTGCAACCATATGGGGAGTAAACCAATGGATAGATTTCTGTCTATCTCTATCAGTCTGATGTTCAAATAAGTAAATAAATCTAAAAAAAATCACTGAATCAAAGTTTTGATGAATTAAGAAAACCAATAAAACCAAGAAAGATGTTTATCTTTGATCTATATAACTAGTTGAAATTTACTCATATTAAATAATAAGCCCTTGTAGTTATTCCCCAACTTATGCAGATACATTAATTAACTTTTCTGAGGACTGCAGAAAATTATTTATCTGGTTTATGTTTGCTTAAAAGGCCTCATCAGCAAAATGTTTTCCACAAAGTTAACTTGCACATAAAATCAGTTTTCCCAATAATGAACCACCAAGTATACTTGTGCTCATTACAATCTGAAGACTAAAGTCTGAGAAATTAAATAAATATTTAATCAACTTCATTTCCTTAATTTGAGTTCAAGTTCATGCACACCCATATTATATGTATATAATTACAACTTCTCTGGAATCAGACAATAAATGCAAAGTTTTATTAGAAGCTATTAAAAATAATATTTATATGGCAATATAACTGAGGGTAGACAGATTGGTGTACCCTCAGTAACACTGTATAGTTTTCGAAGCGAATATACACACATTCATTTTGCCCCTGGTAAATTATCAATTTCTTTTCCAAGACATGTGATAAATCTCTCTCCTATGATCTTCTTTCTCTGCCACCCATCATTTCTTTCCTCTGCCCACTACCTGTCTTCTACCTCCTGTCACCCACTGCCTGAGGTCTCCCCTCCTGTTGTCACACCTTCTTTTTCCCCAGGCCCACCATCTGGAAGTCAACATCACACTGCAGGAGCTCCTCCATCTACAGCTGTTACAGAGCCAGAAGGAACACAGACACGACTGCAACACGGCTGGATGTCCACAGGGCTGACGCCAGGGGCAAGATGAGACAAGGACACCCAAGTTGACAGAAATTTTTCTGTCAGTCCCTAGTGTACTGAACATGGTATAAAGCAGTACTCCCAATCCAAGCATAAAGGATTCTATCGATGGAATGTGGTAAAAGGAACCAACTGAGAATATGTGAGCCCCTGGGAGTGCTCAAACATATGTGATAACTGAATGAACTGACACACCTGAATGGCTGAGTGCAGCCAAGGGCTATTACAGAAGACCACAAACAAATCCACAGCAAGAACGGCTTGTAAGGGAATCCCTCAAATCCACCCAGGTAGGAGGCATCAGCTCTCCTAAAGTTTTCCACACAAATAGGACCATTTTTTAAAACAAGAAGGAGAACAAAAAGAAAGAATAACAGGGAAAAAAAATCAATGCATCTCTCAAATGTCCCTACTGTTAAGAATACAGGGATGCTGTATTAGTACTAGTCAACCACCTAACACAGGGTGAAGACTTTAAAATGATCATTTTCATTTATTTGCAATGCAGAAAAACAGAGACAGAGACCCATCTTCTGGTTTATTATCAAAGCCGGGCCAGGAGCCTGGAACTCCACTGGGGTCTCCCACATGGGTGGCTGGTGCTCAGGTACTTGAGCCGTTTTCCACTGCCTCTCCCAGCTTGCATTAGTAGGAAGCTGGATTAGAAGCAGAGAAGTTAAGACTCAAACTGGCCTTGGATATGGGATGAGGGTGTCCTGGCTGGCAGCTCAGTCCTGTTGTGCTACAATGACCACCCCACAGTGTTACGGTTGGCTGGCTAGTCCCCTTGCCAGCCTATCTTCCTGTACTAGGCAGTGTCATATACATTTTTCTTCGAGTCCTCTTTGGGAAGGAATCATACTGGGTTAATTTTCAGAAAAGATTTAGAAAATTTGGTAACTTGCTCATGTTTATTAAGGTTATTAAGTTTAATAAGGGCTTTTTATCCAAAGGTGTCTGCTTTTATTAACTTGAAAGTCTAAGATAATCATCTCCTATGGCAATTTCTTTCTCTAAATGCTGAAATTTATTAAAATGCACAAGTCAAGACATATTTTCAAAATAGCACTTTGTTAATCCTATCAATTCCTTGAACAAAGTATCATAACTCTATTCTTTACCTCTCTGGAACACAGAGAGTTAAGTGAACAGCTCAGAATCACTGGACCCAGAAAAATGGATTCCACCCTAAATCACTTCACCCTGAAGCTACTTTCTCCAGTTTGCTAGTTGGAGCACTTGCCTCATTACTAGGACCATTCATAGCACTTTATTTGCAGTTTTTACTTTCTGGGGACAACATAAACTTAACTAACTCAGGGTCAGAAATGTACTGTTTTTATGATGCCAGCATTATTCATGAAAAAGATCCTATTACATACAAAAAGTACCTGCTATGCTGCCAGACATATTTCAATCTTTCTGTTCCCTTTTTACTAGGAATTCTCATCAACACGTTTTTACGTAGTAGAGCCACTCAGCAAAGTTAATGGTTTACATTTAAACAACCCCCAAAATAAAAATCCCCTAAGCATGAACAATAGCTAATCTATGCAATTAATAGCATTTTCTGTCACAAAAAATACCAAGTTTACAATGTTACTTCCTAGTTGCCTTATTTACATTAATTATAGGCAGCATTTCTTCCCATATTTTAATTTCTAAATCCTACCTATTGTTGAAAGCTCAGTTAAAATGCTACTTTCTCCACAAAGCCTCCCATAATCTCTTGCAGACAGAAATCAGTATGGTGGAGATATAAAGAAGCAAAGTGAAGGAAATCAGACTGAAAAGTCAATGAGAGAAGGAATAATATAAAGTCTTTATCCCATGCTAAAAGGACATTCAATTTTATACAATGTTACAAGGTGACATGAAAGGATTTTAAAGTAAAAAAAATTGACATATTGAGATGTTTGTTTTAGGAAAGGTCATCCTGGCTGTGGTTTAGAGAACTGGAGCAAGGTAGCACAAGAGGCTGTAGAAGCCATTTCAGTGAGGGCTTGCAGTGGATACAGAAACACGGCAATAAAAAAAAAAATGCTTAGGAATCTGGGAACCTAGAATTTAGGAATTACGCAATGTATAGGATGAGAGAGAAGACGACTTGGGTGATTAACTTCTGTAAGAGACAACTGGATGAACAGTGGTTACACTGGATTAGGGAAGATGGAAAATGAAGTTGGGCTGAAAGCTCAGAACAGAGCTAGATTTTGGAATCCTACAGTAAACATGGAATGAAAGCCACAGCAGTTCTAAATTTACACTTTCCTGCTAAACTACAGAATCTTGTATCAGGCCACTTTCTAAAGGTGCCTCCTGTCTCAAGGGTGCTTTACATACGGAGTAACCCAACAGGCTCACAGCACCCTTTTCCAAAATTAGGCATACAGATCCACAGAAATCAGAACAGAGTGCCTATTGAGGAGAATAAAACATACAGATTTTCAGGAAATATAATACAAGGTCTTCAGTGAACAATGTAATGGGAATTTCCTTGACTGTGAGCACAGAAGCTGAGACACAGCGGACTGAAGCAGAGTGAAAGGTGAGATGGTAGGGACAGCCTGGAAGCACAGATCATCTTTCAGGAAAGTACTCTGAAGAGAAACAGTGAGGAG